ACCCATTCCGCCATACATGACTGGTATACCTGTATATTGCAATATGGACGTCAGAAATACAAGTATCACAATACAGCCTTGTGTATCAATATTTTCTGATGCAGTCACAGAAGAATTAATATATAACTATATAAATCAATTTTTCTATCTTGATGGACTGGGTCCTATCTTAACGGCACACGCTTCGCTCTGTTTACATTAACATTCCATATTGATGACGTAATAGGTAGACTCGTTTATCCATACTACCCATCTCGCAATCTAAAGTCTGGATTATTGAATGAAGAAGTACCATTTGAACAGTACAAATATATATCATTTGGGTCTCAATACATATTGCAATATCTATCACAACACAGCTCTCCGTATTGTGATATATTGCAATGTGATTTATGTTCCAATGCGCCAACATTGGTGATGTTCATATCTTCTTGCAGCGTTGTGTATGTTACTTTAAAGACACTTACACATATACACGCCTTGAAGATCTGTGTCAGAATTGGTCTCAGCAATTGAAATTGACATTAGTCCCATATGGTCCTTGCCAGACTGCCCAGTAGTTAAGAAATCATAAGCCATTTCTGGTGTCCCCCGCCGTGATATTGCTGGAATATTGCTAAAAGCGGCGTAAAATCAAACTCACTCACTCTATCGCTGGGTCTTCAGCAACCCATGCTTGTCGTAAGAGGCGACTAAAACAGGATCAGGTAGCCAGGCTCGGTGACTTGGCTGATGCATGTCATTGTATTCCAATTGCGTGGATCAATGCTCATGATGTCAGTCACTGGATTGTGTGATCCAGATTTGAATATATACAGACCCCTGTCATGTGGCTGGAATATTGCCGAGTACGGCATTGACCTACAAAACAACTACATATATTTGGAGCTACAGCTTCACCATGTTGAAAGCTTTTGGTTATCACGAAGCCTTGAGCTAGATTCAATGTCGGTTCATGTTGCCACATGTCCCTGTTATGGCTGCAGTAATAAGATAAATGTTATGTCATCGATTGATAATGCTATCTTCTGTGCACAGTTGTGCATTATGCATAGGCATGACTTGCCCCCATTCCCCACAGATCACACTTATCAGTGTGGCTGAGCCTAGAGACAGCAGGATCACTCAGAAGGCTACAGCACAGGGTTGATGATATTGAGGCTGTAATGGTTCTACAGCTTCCTGTGCAGAGTTAAACCTCTTAGTTGTGTCAGGATATGCTGATCATTGTATCACAGATTCTCCTCAAGTTTGAATCGTGGTCTGTCAGTATCAATCTTGCAGTGTCAGCGAAGTGGTAAATGTGTTTGACTGTGCCATTGCAGTGATAGCTGTCAAATGACCCAAATACTGTTCGAGGTGGATTTAACCACAACATACTCATTTTAAAAGGCGACTATGTCCCAATTGCGTGGATCGATGCCCATGATATTAATCACTGGATTGTCTGGTTCAGACTCGATTATATACAGACCACGTCATATAGCTGGAATATTGCTGAGTGTGGCGTTAAACAACAAACCAACCAACAGCCTACCTTGCATTGGTGCAGTTCTTGATGCACGCTCTCTTCCATGACATTAATGAGTGAGTGAGTGAGAAATGTTTTACGCAGCTTTTAGCAATATTCCAGCAATATCACCGCGGGGGACACCAGAAATGGGCTTCACACATTGTACCCATGTCGGGAATCGAACCCCGGCCTTTGACATAAATGAGATTGCTGACATTGTTGTGAGGCCCTATGAACTTTAATTATGTAAAATTCACCCGGGATATTTCAGATATTTGAGCTAATTCTTACAGGCATATTGTTTTGATATATTACCAAGAATTTTGAGAAAACCTAGCACACACAGGGCATCCTCTTCAATAATGGTGACATATCACATGTACTTTATGACTGATGATAGAAATTTATTTGTTTGTGTCCATGCCTACCAGAACCTGAAAACAATCAACAGAAGTTTTTTCATTATCTTTGAGAACTGAGTTATGGTCTTGATCAATTTATATAAGATATCTACGCAATAAATTGCAAAGAACAATGAAGAACAAAGCATGGTTTATTTCACGATAAAACATTGTTCTGTCATGACATCATTTCTGGAGGTTTGAAGACGTGCTCACAGTTTGATGACATCATATATTGTATGATGTTTTTTTGAGAGGGGAGTGTCTAGTGAGTTGTTCCCCAAAGCATACATAGATGTAGCGGGGCACCGCAGATACATACGATGGCCGAACGATCGCATTCAAAAGTGGGAGAGATATGACGATCAGTATTGGGAGAAAAGGTACAGGTAATCGATGTGAGAATATGTGGGAAATACCCACCTGTGCATAAAATGGACTTGTCTGACATTGCTATTCTATTGAGGGAGTCATCATTATTATGATACGGGTAATTATTTGTTAAAGCTTCTACATTTTATCATCATTAAAGAGGCTTTACATAATGTTGATATCTCATATAGGAAATAAAGATGCATGGTTGTTGTTTATCATACAATAAAACACTGGCGCTCAGTATTAAGGGGCTAAAACAAGGACTGGTTGGTTCGGTGTCAGTATACTGTGTCTGAGTGGGGTATTCAGGTTAAACTACAGCATGGTATCTCAGTTTGGACTAGTACAAGCGCACGCACGCACGCATGCATGCACACACACACACACACACACACACACACACACACACACGGGTGCATACATGCCACTATATAAGTGCAATAATCTTGGATGCTACGTTAAACCCCATTTCACCTCACCTCACCTGAAATGGAAGCTAAATGTTTTCTAAATCAGATGAATTATTTTGGTCAACTGTTTATCATGTGTACTGAACAGAGCTTGAAGTTATGAGATCACTATTATTACAGTCGTGAATAGACTTTGTGTATTCATTTTGAGAGTGCTATTTGTTTGATATATATTTGTGAAAGTTTCTAGAGTGTACCAGCAACAGAGAGACAATTATTTATGATCAAGAAGCTTAAGAAACTCTTCTTAGTGTCTTACATGCTGAATTTGCAGTTTTTGTCTATGTAGACATGTAGTGTTGAAGTGGATATTTTTGTTCAATTTGTTTACATGATGCAAGATCCATTGTAACCATTGACAGACCAAACACTTGTCTTGGTCAAATAAATATAAAGACTCCCTTCTCACATTCCTGTGGCTAACCCTGTCTATTTTAGTCCAGTTGGTCCTCAGCCAAGGGGCACTAGACCATTAAGGCTAAATGTGCTACTTGCACACAGGTTTATGGACTTAACTACAAAGTGACCAGGGCAACACTCCTTAATGTGGCCCGTTACCTTTCATGCGTACAGAAATTTTCAAGTTTGTTTTTTCCATGTGAATTTATTTTTATCCAAGTTCTTCTGTGTTTCTGTGTGAGGTGTAGAGTGGAGAAGTGCTTCCTTGTGTCGAGATGGGGATGCCGGTGGTCAGATCCAATTGTCCACAGCTCCTTTTCGGCTAGTGGGTTATATTAAACTGCGGTACATAAGTAGGATTCGGAGCTAAGTGCCCCTGGCAGGCAAGCTGAGGAAAATTGTTATTTTGTTCCATATTGGGATTTTGGGAAAACATGTTAAATGTTAAATGCAGAGGTATATTGACTTTGTATTTTGAGATTGAAATATTTTCTTATGAGGTAACATTATGAGGTAAAGTGAAGATCAACTAGTCAGGCCAATTGGGTTTTTTTATTTTGATTTTGAATTTAGTAAGTTTGACAAATGCGTGTGTCATGCTTGTGGTAACAATGACACAAAGTAAAGAAAACATGATGTGAGCATGATGAATGCACACGTATCATGTTACATTTCGTCAGGTACAACATCAGAGATCTACTTAGGATTCTGAACTCGGTGCCATTGGCAGGAAAATTGGGAAAATATTGTTCCAAACTGGACGTTTTTAGTGTTCTTATTTTTGTAAATTCTGAGGAAATTGGCAAATTTTTAATCAAATTGGGATTTTTTGCTGCCATTTGCTGCCATTTGCTGCAGATTTGTGGCTGAATATCGACCTCTGAGCAGGTCTAGATAAATCCCTGAATATGTATCATGAAAGTAAAGTTGCAGTATGATCATGATGGTACATGGTACAACATTGTACAGGACATGAAAGAACAAGAAACATGTCTCAAAAACTTCAATGAAACTATCTGCCTTAGAAGCAATGCCATACCAGCAGCAAGTAGTTAAATTTTATACCAGTAACAAGGGTAGAAATTAACCTATAAAGCCTACTAGCTCCAGTAGTGATAACAATTAGGAACACTTCCCATATTATCCAACATTCTTTCAGCCCTCAGGACATGTAGGATACTATTATCATTGTGGAACTTTGTTTAAGCTTGTGGTCAAGACTATTCCTGTATAACATATCTTTTCTTAAGTCAACTAGTCAAAATAGTGATTGCATATGAGAACACCCCCAAAATGATCATAATTCTTCTAGCCCCCTGGATCCCATAAGCATTGAGGAATTGATGCTTAGGGTTGTGGGCTAGTGGTAATTTCTTTCCTGTGTAACTTATCCTTCAAATTGTGATTGTGATGATAGCTGATCCAAAGAGTATATGAGAGAACACACTGAAAGTGTTCAAAATTATTTTGCCCCTTACACTGTTAAGCATTAGGGGAATTTTCTTGAGGTAGCGAGCGTGTGCTATTTTAAATTTCTTCCCTGTGTAACATATCTTTAGTGTATGACCTCATAATATGAAGCCCAAATGAAGGACATTGATTTTTACACCCAAGATGTTTTGAATAGAAATCGTCTCTTTCACAAAGGTGTTGATGGTGATTGCGGTAGTCTGTCACTAAGGAAGATACTGAGATGTATGTGTTTACTAACATATGATTGATGTGGTGGTAGGCCCAAATGCCTGCCTCTACGCAGGTTCACTAATCTCTAGAGAACAGCTTGTGTCCGGTTCACAGCCAGGGACTTTGATTGACGGCAGTATCAATATTATATACAACAGCCCGGCAGGCAGACAACTCTCTCCTTTGACCTCATTGGCTGCAACTGGGTGGGGCTAAAAATACCAAGCTTGTATGTGGTGGACAAGACTTTAGGTGTAAGTACAGATCTTCCTGCTATCAAAGGTCCCGACACTTCAGATGTGTGTGATATGAGAGGCATGAACCAGGCATGTTTATGGCTGTAGCCGTAATGGGAACTCTCGTGCCGTGGAGGTGGAATATGTGCCTGCTGGTGTGAGGAGCTAACTCCTGTTGTCTTACGTGGTGTCCAGTTTTGAAAGCATGATTACACCAACACTGGGTTTGCATGTTAGAGTTGGAACAGATAACAAGCCCTGACATACTGTGCTGCGTGTAAGTGTTGTGCTGTGTACTGTTGTGCTGTGGACTGTTGTGCTGTGTACTGTAGAGAGACTCCACCCATGTCAGGTGGCGGACCACCGAGGCCACATGGGGAGATAACGTTACTATCAATGGGATGTAGAACCTTACAACACACGACACTGAACATGATAGTGTGGGACGTCTGAACACATGCTGAAAGTGGATTTACATACAGTATGTGGAGACAAAAGGAGGCTCAGATAACCCACTCTGTGTATGTCAAGCAAGACCACTCTGTAAGTACTGTGAGGTAGTATTGTTTCTAGGCTAGCATCGACTAACAGTAAACTTGGTTCACTTACAGCATAATACCTTGACGTGTTGGCCAAGTAGCTAACATGACAGTATGAACGTTGTCAGGAAAGTTTGTGCTGGTAATCTATCGTCTGAATTTTATGTTGTGTCATGGGAAAATCATTTCAATATTTTCAAACTGGTTTGAAATGTATATATCTGTGCTACATTACTGGCCCTGTTCCACAAAGCGATCGTAGCGTGAAGACGATCATAAATTTAACGACATACTTTAACATAGACTTACGTCAGTCTTCGCACTATGATCGCTTTGTAGAACGGGGCCTGGCTATTATACCGTCCTTAGTTGACACATTTTTACATAAGAATGTACTCTACTCCACTTATGGTAGGTATATTTTTTTCCCATGATACACAAACATGATTCTTATAATATGTCAAGTGTATATTTAAATACATGTCCGATTATCATGATTATCTCTATCTCTATAAGTTGAGTAGCATATTACATGCTCTGGTCACAATATGGCTGAAATTGTGCAGACATGACTTAAAGATTGAATCCTTCATGATATAATATAATCAGTAGTTTGTGATTTTTAAGAAGTCCAAATTATATTTGGGCTGGTCTAGACATGTTATGAAGGGCTGAAGTGAAGTAGGAACTTTCTGAAGTAATTAGACACGTTTTTGTTTTTGTCTGAAAATAAAAAAGGACGTTTTTTCATGTCCTCTTCTATTGACTTGAAATTGAAAGAGGAAATAAAGAGTCACGTTTTGTGGGCAAACAACAGTTAACAAGCCTGTAGTGTTTATTTCAGTGGCTGCTTTGTTTCTGTAATATTCTGACTAAGAGGGTTAATGAATGAGTGAGTGAGTTGGGTTTAACGTCGCTTTTAACAGTATTACAGTTATATCACGACGTGGGAGGAAAGCCTGAAGTTATGCAGGTCCAGGATGTTTACCACTTACCAGGACGATGAAACCCACGAGCACTGGTATGGTGCTGACAAACCTAGAAAGATAATCGGGGGAAACCGGGATTCAAACCCACAATCATAGGTTTCTGGCGTGCCAAGGGACGCAACTCTGCACAGTGAATTACTTAGATGACTAGGCTACCCGTGCCCCCAGAGGGTTAATGATATCACCACGGACAAAAACGTTGTTGACAATGTCTAAAGCCTAGATAAAGTAGCCAGTGAAGGCTGCTCGTCGCCAGCAAGCTACTAGACAATAGAAGATAAGATAAGCAGGTATATCCTGTTGTGCTTGATCATGTTGATGTCATGAGGCCCTCTTTGTTTAAATGCTGACATATTCATTATCAGAGATAATCAATATCAGTGGAAAATTTATCACTTGTTTGCAATTAGTGGTTGAAGTGCTGAAAGGCCTCATGCTGTAATCATCAGCATTATCTAAAGAAGTGAAGGACCTTTGTGAATGTTTTTCGAAATGGCATATAACCACTATCATTCGCTTATTAGAGAAACTTTGTGTTAGTTTCCATATTATTAAGAATAATCATCACTCTGATTGACGTTTTTATCCACATGATACATTAGAACCCATGCAACAGATATTTACATTACATTCACATCCAAAGTATAGAATATTGGTTTCATTACTTTCACATTCATGTCCACAGTATGGAATATAGGTATTTCATTCACATCTTCAGCAGGGAATACTGGTTTCACGTCCTCAGCATTGAATACTGGTTTCACATATTCATCCACAGCATGGAATATAGGTTTTTCATTCACATCCTCAGCATGGAATACTGGTTTACATTCATATCCTCAGCATGGAATACTAGTTTACATTCACATTCTCAGCATGGAATACTGGTTTACATTCATATCCTCAGCATGGAATACTAGTTTACATTCACATTCTCAGCATGGAATACTGGTTTACATTCACATTCTCAGCATGGAATACTAGTTTACATTCACATTCTCAGCATGGAATACTGGTTTACATTCACATTCTCAGCATGGAATACTAGTTTATATTCACATTCTCAGCATGGAATACTGGTTTACATTCATATCCTCAGCATGGAATACTAGTTTACATTCACATTCTCAGCATGGAATACTGGTTTACATTCGCGTCCTCAGCAGGGAATACTAGTATAGCTTGTATACTGGTATGTTGCCTTACGGCCGTCATGTATAAGACCATTATGTATTGATATTTTCCAATATAGTCACACATAATATTAATTATGTCTACAATCTTGAGACATATGTCTGGACTGGGTTCCTATCTAAACCATGTAAACAGTACACACGTCACACTGTTTACATTAGCAGTCCATATTGATGACGTAATAGGTAGCCTCATTTATTAATACTACCCATCTCGCAATCTGAAGTTGTTCCATGTGAATAGTAGAAATATATATCATTTGGGCCTCAATACATGTTGCAATAAGTATCGCAACGCAGCTCTCTATATTGTGATATATTGCAATATGATTAATGTGCCAATACGCCAAAACTACAGTGGTTTCACATTCACATCCACATCCACATCCACAGAATGGATTAGTGTTTTTACAAGGTAACATTGTCAAGCTAAAGAGAGCCCGTGAACATCCGGGGATGAATAGGTCTTCAGCAACCCATGCTTGCCAGAAAAGGCAACTTTGCTTGTCGTAAGAGGTGACTAATGGGATCGGGTGGTCAGGCTCGCTGACTGGATGATGCATGTCATCGTATCCCAATTGCGTGAATCGATGCTCATGATGTCAATCACTGGATTGTCTGGTCCAGACTTGCTTATTTACAGACCGACGTCATACAGCTGGAATATTGCTGAGTGCGGCATTAAACAACAAACAAACAAGTTAAAGAGCTATCATTGCTGACCTGGAATCAAAGCTGCAGAATTGATCACCATTTATTTCTTTGTCTCTCTAAAAAAAAAAAAACCTGTGTATTATCACTGTGGTATGTGGGGGCACAATGTGATGGTTTTGTGAAACATAAGTCAACACAAGCTTTAGGGACCGTGCAAGGTCTCTTGGATAATGATTGATATTTCACTGGTGACAGTCTTTCAGTCATGTTGGTGCATTAAGAACCTTCAGCGAAGACTTGTTGCTTGCAGCTATTTATTGAATTTAAACCGAGTCTCACACGTTGATGTAAATGCACTTGAGACGTGGAGTCTTCATCGATTGTAGATCAGCTGGGGAGGGACATTGATGTCTAGTCGTGTGTTAAGTCTCTCTGGGAGCATATGGTGGTGTTGATGCTGATGATGGCGATGTTTGCCGTCACCTGTTGGCATGTTATTGCTGTCTCATCATGGGAATGTGATGGAGACAATGTTGCCAGCAGTTGCAGCCAGCTCCTTGAACCAGCTGGGCACATCATTGCCCCTGGTGAATAGTATTGAATTGTCTGTATGAGGGAGAATACAATTCATTGTAGAAATAGGCTGAATCATAAATGATTGCTGTATTGTCAATGGATGTTAAAAGTTGAATCTGTTTTGTTTTTTTCCTTTGAAATTCCTTTATACAGTGCAATATGACTGTGAAGCTGTTTCAAAGTAAAACATTAACAAACTTACAAACCAATTATATTATAAAAGTTTCATCCCCAAGAAATACCTAGCACAATTATGGGATTTAGAAAGCCATAAGGAAACTTATAGGATACTGTCATTGAGTTAAGTGTTTATGAAAAAAAAAAAATGCAAGTGTTTGCACGGCACTTGATAGGCTAGCCAAGCAATTTTGTTTCCGTTTATGTTTACATAAACCATAAAAAATAATTAGGCCACTCCCACTATCAGAACACTGTTTCCTGATTGGTCGATAACAAAATGGGCACCGCTTGTCGCATTATTACGCTGAACGTGGTCACTGATTTCGTCTTGTCTGAAATAAGTGTGAAGTTCTTATGATTAACATATTATTTTATGACTATAAGAATTGTCTTGCATTTATGGACTTATAAACATCAAAGCTGGATTTACACAGTATGCCAAGCAATTGGCTCTGACCAAACAGACCAACACTATTCAATGATAGATATATGTTTATACCACTCAACTATTGGACCTGTGAAGATCGGGGTTTGAAGTGTTCTTCAGCAACCCCTGCTTGTCTTGAGAGGCAACTTACGACATCGGGTGGTCAGGCTTGCTGACTTGGTTGATGCATGTCATCATATCCCAATTGCGTAGATCAATGCTCATGATGTCAATCACTGGATTGTCTGGCCAAGGCTTGATTATTTACAGACCCCCATCATATAGCTGGAAAATTGCTGAAATTAAGCAACAAACAAACTTAACTATTGATAGGGATATCGCTGTTACTCAGGGATACATTGAACTGAATCATGTATACATATACTACTTAAAAGAAGTTAAGGACCTGGATTCTTACTTGGAATCCCTCAAGGTTTATTGAAGTGTTTCAGTAGGTGTACATACTGTATAGTTTGTCCTGATTAATAAGGAATAATTTCTTCTTCAAGATGTTCATCATATACTTCGCTTATGAAGTTAAGGACCACCCACTTCTTTATATTACTATAGTTAATCTGGCATTGCATGGCATATACATCTTTTGAGTAGTTTGTTAAGAAATATGTACATAGTGTGACATATCTGTGATTATCTCGGCATGTCTATCAAGTTGAGTAGAATGTGTAAATCGTATGGACATCTAGTTTATTCTCCATATGTTACAAGATAAACGAGTTGGTACAAATCAATTTATCATACATCCATGTCAGAATGATGAGATCAGATTGGTCCATGTGATCTTAATAAAAAACTACGTATCCCTCCTTGGACACAATGTCATGTTGGAGGGAAATAAAAAATTTATCACGTGAATAAATCCTGTATTCCCCGCCATGAGCAAGTCAGGCTTTCTGAGAGGCAGAATAAATCCAATGTTAGAAATTGGCACTATAGTCCTTGCCAAACTGCCCAATATTAAAGGTAT